TAAGGAGGACCGGGATTATGGGATGGCATCAGCGAGATGAGCCAACCATGATAGGGGCCTGCTAAAATGACATTCAGGCTTCCTTAGGAGTAGGCTGCGGGGCGGGGGGATGCTAGCACCCCAAGTCCTCTCTCAAGTTCCCGATGGCACCCATTTCCAAAAAATTCTTTCCTCCTCATGCCTGCCAGACTCAGCACCTGGATATGCTGGTGCTTCTTATGTGACAGGAAGAATAAATGGCAAAGCCTGAACTCTTGCAAATTAACTGCTCAGTTTGATTTGGGAGTGATGTCACTCTGAACTTTAAATTCAGATTATAAGCTGCGTGGGTGAGCTAACCTTAACTTTAGCATTTCCTGATGTTTCTATTTTTAAGTTGGTACCCAGGATGTCACTGTAACACAGGTTTTGCCCTTTAATTGTAAAGGACTTGGGGTTGTGAGCCACTTGGCTGACAGTGGCACTAATGGAGGATGTACTGATGCATAGTTCAGGAAAAAACCGAATTGCTAGGTGTCTCGTACCTCAAGCCTTGTGTTTTCCGCAGTGTCTGCCAGGAACTATAAGGCATGCAGTAGAAGGAAAGACAGTCATTTTCCATGACAGCCTGCCTGGTGTGGTGTCCATTTCTAAAAATATTTGTTGATTAAAGGAGAAAGATGGCTGAGCCCGGTCTCATTATAGCACCTGCCACAGTACTTGGTAGTTGGTGGAGAACTCAGTTCCTGGCACCTGTCTGCATGTAGGAATCAGCAAGTTGAATTAAACAGGACCTTTGGGAGGACCCAAGACTTAGACTTGGGGTTTTTGTATCTGCTCATTAACCACCAGGTAGAAGTTCTTATTGGCTGCATTAAATATTAGATTTTTTAAACTTTTAGGCTGCATGCAAACTTTATTTCCACAAAGAATAAGGTGACAGAGACAAGGGTATACAGATACAAATAGCTCTCTGACTTGAGTTTATAAATTGGTTATTTGTTGTATCTGCAGTCATTTTGGCCACTCTTTGGTAGGTGTCTGGGGGTTGATGCTATACAGCATAGAGTACAGGGTAAGCTAGTAGCAAATGCTTAGTGTTACTGCCTAGTAGAAAAGAGCCCCTAAAACATGTTGCAGGGTACATGTCCTGATGAGGAGTCTGTGCCAGGTGCAAGCCAGTTTCTTGTAGCAGGGGAAAGATAAATTTACTCTCTTTAGCAGCCCTTGCTCAGAATGTGGGCAGAATATAAGTGGGGAGATGTGTAGGCATTCAGCACCCAGGACGGGGTGCCTGTTTAAACCTGCTTTGTAAATAAGCACTCAGGTTTTACCGGCCTACACTCTTTTCACAACTAGGCTTCTATTCTTTCAGAATGTACATTTTCCTTATTCCTTCGCTAGCAGGACCTCCCAGTGCACGTGCCTTTTGCAGGAATTCAGGACCTGGTCAGGTTTACTTTTGGACCCAGATCAGCAGTTGTGGGCACCATCAAGCTTGGCTCGCTGTGTGTTGTCAGTGTCCAGGGCAGTACTGGTACATTGCTGGTCACCAGGGGAACTCTGTGTATGCCCAGATACATTCTGCCTCTGCAAAATTTGGGTGCGGACCAGCTCTGAGATTTCCTGTCTTGGCAGATCTCAGGTACTGTTTGGAGCTGTCTTCCTCCTTGTGGATCCTGGGGACCAGGCTGCATGGGAATCAGTTCCTGAGGCTATCCCCAGGATGTCTCAGAAAAGAACCTTGCGGCACCCAAAGGCTCCACTGAGTTAAGGGGCGCTCAAAGTGAGGGGAAGCCTCACTAGTGCATTGCTAAGCCCTTTATTCTGGGGCTGCATCATTCTAATAGGAAGGGCCTCGAACGTTTTGTTACAAGTTAATGCCACACCTTTTTCTTGTTTACCTGAAAGCAATGAGTATCTCTTTGTAAGAAACAGTGATTTAGAGGCTTCCCACATTTAAATCCAAAGTTTGGGGAATATATTGAATGAGTGACTCAGAATTCACTTGGCACCCACTTTTGACATCTCCCATGCTATTTTCATTAGCATCCATCTGGCACCTCAGACTCCAAAGTTCCTTATGCCCTTGCTCATTGAGTTCTTCAGAGGACGCGGTCTCGTTCATCTCTGTATCTGCAGTAGTTAGTACCTGCTGGCCGTATTGTAGGTGCTGCCGAAACCTTCATCGTGAATGAATGCACATGCGGACTGTGTGTCATATTTCCTGAGCTTGATGTAACTCTTTGGAAATACCAAAACCTTTTATTTATAAGGTAAAGGCAATAATAATGCAAATTTGGTTCTGTTGCCTAGGTAATGTTCTTTCATATTGTGTGGCTTCTGTGATGTTGCGCTTTCTTGGTTTCTTTAGACTTCTCTTAAAAAAGAAAAGAGAGAGTCTCTACAAGGGCCCCTTCTCTTAGACTCCTTTGCACTGGTGTTTTCAGGGTTTCTCCCGGAACCCTCTCATGTGTCACTGTGCAGATTCTGTCTGGTAGGTGGTGTTCACCTCTTTGGCTTCACTGGCAGGTACATTCTATTGACTTCCAAATCTGTGTCTCTGTGAAGACTTCTTTGGGCTTAACACTGACCCTTACAGATGGTCCAGTTGTTTCTCCAATTCAGCATCACTGAAACTAAGCTTGCTGTTCCCATTCCTATGCCATCCTCTGACCTCATCTGCCAAGTTACCTAAGAGTCAAAACCAGGCTCTCGTTGACACCCCAATCTGTAGTTTCCTATACTTAACAGATGGCTGGGAAGACCATGGAGTCTGCCCTCTCAAACTCTCTGCCATCAGTTGTCCTTTTGTTTTTCTTCCTCCTCTTCCTCCTTCTACTCCTCTTCACTTCTTCCTTCGTCCAGACCTGCAGCATTGCTGTGACTTTGGGACCTGTTTTTCTGCCCAGGTCTGGCCCTCCCTGCCCATCGTGGGACACCTTGCCTCCTTTCCTCCCTCCCTCTGAGCTCTGTGCTGCTGCCACATCCAACATCTACCCCGCCCCAGCTGTGCTTACCTCGTCATACCATCTGTCTCTACTCAGTTGCTTCCCACTCACAGGTTCCCTTGTCCCCAGAGCCCGCTCTGCCCTGTCTTCTTCTCTTTATGACAATCACCCTTCAGATTAAAGACTTCGCCCCAGCACTTTTTTTATAATGAAGTCGTTTAGGCCTGACTTGCCTTGTGCTTTGTCATACTCATGTCTGCCTCCATCTCCCTAATGGGTTTCCTCCCTCCAGGTGACAAGCAGACCCTGAGAATGTCTGACTCATGCTCGTGGTCTCTGTCCTAGCACAGTGCATGAAAAATGGCTGGCACCAAAAGGGTGTACTGAATGCGTGGATGGAAAAATGCATGCATGTTCAGTTTCTAAGAATGAGGCCTGTTTTTCTTAGGTGCATTATGGAGCTGGTTTCCCTTAGACAAAGATGCACACGTTTGAGGAGGGAGACTGCTGTGAAGGAGTGGTGCTTGATGGGTTTGGCTGAGTGGCTCATCCATTATCTCTGTACTCTCCTGCTGTGCAACAGACAGCCTCTGAGATGTGGACCGAGGATCTGGAGCGATAACCCCAGTGCTTTTAAATGCTGTTGCTTCTTAAAATTCCCCCCAGGAATGGTTCCTGACTTTGTGGTAGGCCCTGCCTTATCTTGTCTAGCATAACTCTGATCATATATGGCCCTTTTCTGGGTAGAACCACCACTTTGGGAAAGGCAAAGAGAAGAAATTGGAGCTGCAGAATTTTATAGACCATTACTGTTTTCTGGAGGTCCCACCTTCTCTTATAAGTGCCTGTGGTGTGAACAGTAACATCAACATAGGGGGCTGGAGGTTTAGCTCAGTGGCATAAGCGCCTGCCTTGGAAGCTGGCAGTCGTGAGTTCGATCCCCAGTACCAATAAAAAGGAAAAAGAAAAAAACAAAACAACAACAACAACAACAAAAACATGGATTAAGTACTTACATTCCTACCCTTAAACTGTCGGCCTTGCAGGCCCACAGAGATTCCAGAGGGGAATCTGCTGGGGATTATTCTCCTTGCCTGCCATCGTGCTGGACAGTTCCTTTGTCAGCAGTTTTGTCCTTGCCTTTGGGCTTGGCCATCTCAGAAGCTGGCTGCTCTTACAGTTGCCCAGGATTACTCTGTTAAATATCAGAATTAGAAAGAAAATTGCATTATATTTTGATAGATTCTAATCTTTCCATCAGTCTTGAATTTGTTAACTTGAGAACTGTGGAAGGAGTTAAGGACAGGGTGTGTGTTATAGGCTGGGAAGCTCTGTACTCAGCACAAATATCTTTGCCTTTTCTCTGGATATTAGCAAGAATTTGCTTTTCTTCTTAGGACTTCAATTTAAGATGAGAATGTGGCTAATGTTATAAAATGAATTATACTTGCAAGTAAACAAATAGTGCACTTTTAAGTGTCTCTTATAATGCACCATTAATTTTCTAAGATATACTGGTAACTTTGTCTTCAGCCAAAAAATGGGGAGATACCACAAATGTCGGTATTTAATTCTGTAGTCAGATAAATTATTTAATATCAAAATGTAGTGAAGTATGTTTTGCACAGCAATGAGAAGAGTGATCAATGCACCAAACTCAGGTTTTTTGTTTTATTTTGTTTTGTTTTTAGACTGGTTTTCACTATGCAGTTCAGGCTGGCTTTGAACTCAATTTGTATCCCAGGGTATCCTCAAACTCAGAACCATGCTCCTGCCTCAACCTCCTGAGTGCTGGGATTACAAGCATGTCCCACCATGGCCAACTTTGAACTCAGTATTTTGATTGGTAGCTTTTGACCAAAATGGGCAGAAGGCATTGCTTCTTGATTTGGCTAGTGCTCCGTCTGTTTCAGAGGACGGGAGGAATGCCTTCGTAGCTGCAGGTGTTTAAGGGCTGCTGTGTGCTGCCCTGCAGGGTGTGAGTGTTTTCTTCTTTCCTCACCTGAAAACCAGTCAGTGCTACTCTGAGCAGGTGGCCTGGTTCATGAGTGTCTGTCATTTTTCCTGCAGATTTCAGCAACGTCCCTGACATCACAACTGGTATGAAAAGGAGCCAGACGGATGGCACTCTGGATCAAGTCACCCATCGAGAGAAAATGGAGCAGACGTCCAGGGTAAGATGCTGGTTCAGACTGCAAACCAAGAACCAGGCAGACAAGGACTAGTTCCCACTTTCACTCGAGCCGGGGAAGTAACATGTGGCATTTTCCTATCCTGAGTCCCAGCAGGTGATGCAAACATTTTTCTCCCCTCTGAGAATATCATTTCCTTTTCATTTGTTTTTGAGGTTAGTATCAAGAACCACTGACTTAGGCAGAACTCTTTTCTGACTTCCTGAACAGCGTCAAGGAACAGAGCAAGGAATGCTGTTCCTCCAATAGGAATGTTTTGTTTAGGTGTTTCGACAAGGAAACCATCAGCTCTGGGATCTTGAAAGTCATATTAAGTTACTATTCTGTTTCTTTTATTTTGGCCAGAGGCAAATTAGTTTTGCTATTTTTGTTGTCTAGCTGTAAAACACATGTAACCCGTGGTTACCATTTGCAAGCATGCACTTCAGTGGCACCAAGTACAATCATGTTGCTTTGCAGCCATCTCTCCCTTCTGTCCCTGGAGGTTTTCCATTATTCCAGACCAAAACGCTGTGTCCATACAAGCCCTAACTCTCGTTCTCTTCTCCTAGTTCCTCTGATACCCTCAATTCTACTGTTCTCCTTTGACGGTTTTAGGGACCTCATATGCGGTGTTTTTCCTTTTATCCCTGACTTGTTTTATATGACAGAATATCACCTAAGTGTTCATTCATGTTGCAGCCTCTGTCAGCTTTCATTCCTTTTTAAGGCTGAATAATATTCCATTGTATTGTTATAGCACATTTTGTTGACCTATCTGTCTCTTGATAGATGCTTGGGTTGTTGCCCCTACTTGGGAATTGTGGGTGATGCCACCCACAGTGGCCATCTACATACAAGCACCTGCTTGAATCCTGGTTTTCTCTTCTTTGGGAGAATCCATCTAGCAGCGCAATGTCAGGTCACAGATAATTCCATTTTTAGCTTTTTGATTAACACCTCAGCTTTCTCCCCAGCTCCATCCCCTTTTCCATTTCCCTTTTGCTGGGCCCTGGGGCCCCAGTTTCTCCCCAGCCGCAGCAGTGCTGCTGGCCCTAGTCCATACTTTTCCAGTATTAGCTGATTTCACTCAGCTGTGTTTTCCGAAATGGTCTGACATGGTGTATTTTCATGTCCAGCCTAGATTTTTAAATTATCACTCTGTTCTTACTTCCTGCTTTTGTCTTAAATACTAAATAGAAATGGAGGAAATTTAAGCAATGACAGATATTTAAAGAAAAGTTATAGTGGGACCAGGTCAGGTTGGGTTTAAATTAACAGTACAGGAGCTGGTCCCTGGGCGTGTGGCTGTGTGGCACCTTGTTTGGCGCACAGTGGATGGCGCAGCTTTCAGCTTGAAAATGGCCCTGGCACTGAGCCTCTCTTCTCCCCCTCCTCCTTTTCCATTCCTACTCCTCCGCTTATCTCCCATTCCCTCTCTCTTTCTTAGCTCTCCTCTTTCTCTGATTCATAGAGGCTGTCATTATTCTGGTTATTCACCTGGATGTAAGTGCTTTGACTAAACTGACATCCATCAGAAGTATTAGTCTTAACTGCTATATTCTATCTCTGCTGAGTTACTGACTTTTGAATATCATAGCTAATATCTACTTTTTTCATGCACAGTGGATCCTTTGTGTTAAATTTTTTTTTGTTGTCTTTTTCCTTTTTATTGGTATCAGGGATTGAACTCATGACTGTCTGCTTGCAAGGCAGGCGCTTATGCCACTGAGCTAAATCCCCAGCCCCTTGTGTTAAATGTTTTTTCAAAGAGCAAATACTCCTGAAACACTCATACAGCAAGGCTGTCTGGGTGAGTGTCCCTCTGGGCCACTGGCAGTGTGGTGCTTGGGAGTAAATTACTTAACACTTAATGCAGTCAGGAGAAAATGCATTTCTCTTTGTGATCATCGGCTTAGATTGCACATTAATGTTCTTAGGAAGGAAATTAATTTCCCAAAGTTTGTATCTTTTTATTCAATGGAAGAGTTAAATGGAAAGTTAGCTTCTTAAGGCCATTTCAAATCCTGTTTTAGGGTGGTGCCTGTCGCAGCTAAGCAAAGTCGTTGCAGAGTCAATGTTGGAGCATAATTCCGAAGCTGAGATGTAAAAGCTGTAGTCAGGTTGCAACTGGGGTGATGTGTGTGCTCTATTTGCATTGTTAAAAATAGTGAGGGGGAAAAAGTAAATGCATAAAATACATTTATTCATAAATATACTTTTCATACATGCATATCAAAGAACTCACAGGGAAAAACCCCATTGAAAGAGAATACAGGTTAAATAGCCTTGAGCTTGGGGGCTGGGGATTTAGCTCAGCGGCATAAGCACCTGCTTTGCAAGCAGGCAGTCCTGAGTTCAATCCCTGGTACCGATAAAAAGGAAAAAGACCAAAAAAAAAAAAAAAAATCCTTCAACTGAAATGCCCACAGGTGTTTCAGATTTCTCTTCTCTTCTTTCTTTCTTTTTCTCTTTCTTCTTTCTTTTCTCTTTCTTTCTTTCTTCTTTCTTTCTTTTTCTTTCTTTCTTCTTTCTTTTTCTCTTTCTTCTTTCTTTTCTTTCTTTCTTCTTTCTTTTTCTTTCTTCTTTCTTTCTTTCTTTCTTTCTTTCTTTCTTTCTTTCTTTCTTTCTTTCTGCAATAACCATCCTCCACTGCAGGGGCAATATTGGAAAAGAGGAATTAAAATCTCAGCACAGGCATTGTGCTTGGTCCAGCTGAAATCTACTGGACCCTTGATTTCTACATTGATAAACATGGGGTGTCTGCCTGGCTTCACATCTTCTTTACACAGTTGTCTTAATGCTTTTTATTCTATTCTTTTTTCTTTTCTTTCTTCTTGCTTCCCTTTGTCCCTTCCTTCCTTCCTTCCTTCCTTCCTTCCTTCCTTCCTTCCTTCCTTCCTTCCTTCCGTATTGGGGATTGACTCCAGAGCTTAACAATTAACTACATCCCCAGTCCTGTTGTATTTTTATATTGGAAATATTATTTTAATTAATTTATTGGTACATTTTAGATATACATAATGATAACATTTATCACAGGGAATTTGTACCTGTACATGATATATCTTGATTCTTTTTTTCCCCAGTGTCCTCCTTATAATGCCTCTTTCCCTCCTTATTTATAGACCTTTGGTTCCATTTTTCCTTCTGTTCTCTTTTATTTTTCTTGTCCTTTCTTTCCTCCCTCCCATTTGAACATTTTCTCTTTCTCAATATTTATTACACATTTTAGTCTTTATTTATCCTTTCAGCTTCTTGCACGAGAGAAACTATGCAATATTTAAGCATATGTATCCTATTTATTTCACTTAAGAATATGGTCTCAAGGCGCATCAATTTACCTAGAAATGTCCCTAGATTGTCCTTTAGAGCAGAGTAGTAGGCCATTTTTAGTAGTAGTCCATCTTCTTTATCCATTCACCAGTTGATGGCCATTTGGGCTAAGATTTAGCTATTACAAACTGTGCTACCACAAACATGGGCACGCATAAATTGCTGTGGTGTGATGCCTTTAATCCTTTCAAGAAGATACCAAGAAGAGGAATAGTCAGTTCAAATACTCTCAAGTTTCAGTTTTTTCAGCAATCTCCACACTGATTTCTACAGGGGTTGCACAATCTACGCTCTCACTGACAGTGGAGAGGGCCCCTTTCCCCCACTGCTGAACCAATAACAGCATCTGTTATTGGCTGATTTCTTGATAATCACCATTTTTTCTGAAGTGAGATGCAATCTCAGTGTTTTAATTTATGTCTCTCAAATGACCAGTTATGTTGAATGTTTTTTCATATATTTATTTGCTGTTTGTATTTCTTCATGTGAGAAGTGTCTTTTTACTACAAATCGACAATTTTTAAATTGGGTCTTTAAATTTGGAGAGGTCTGATGTTTTTGAGTTCTTTATATATTCTAGCTACTAGTGCTTTGTCTGAGGAATAGCTGGCAAAACTTCTTTCCCATTCTATGAGTTGTCTGATTACTCTATTGGTGTTTTTTGTTGGTTTGTTGGTTTTTTTTTTGTTTTGTTTTGGTTTTTTTTTTTGCTGTGCAAAACCTTTTAAATAAGATAATATCCCAATTGTTGATTCAGATTTCAAATACTAGAATATTACATTGTACACGAGGTATCTATGGGATGAGATCCAAGTGTAAATGCAATTCATTTGTGTTTCATACACACCATCTACACATAACATGAAGGTTATTTTATACAGTGTTTTTACGCATTTGTGTTTTGACTGTGATCGTCACATGAGGTCAACTATGGAATTTAACTAGGGGTATTGGATCTTGCAACATTTTGCATGTCAGATTTTTGGATTGAGTGTTCAATCTGTGTGAGCAGGTGAAGCAGATCCTGTCAAAGTCCACTCAAATCTTTTTCACTTTTTTCCAGATAGGAAGCGATAGATATGTAATAATGGATTTCAGTACGTTTTAGAAAAATACAGGAAATGCATGGCGCACAGGTTATCTGATTGTTGGGGAAAAAAAATTCAGTGACTACCCAAAGTAATAACTGTGATGGGTATAAGTTGCGAGGAAGAGAAAGTTTCAAACTTAAGGATTGGAAAAATGTTTTGTGCAATACTTTTAACCTCTTAGAAACATCAGTTTATGTGCATTAGCAATCCCTTTGCTTTTCAACAGCCATGGTGCATGGTGGGGGCGCAGGCCCAGAGTGGGCTGGGCAAGGACCTTCCAAGAGTCGTCCACACTTTGTCCTCTACAAGGAACTTCTGATGCCTGAGGAAGTAGCCTCTGCTTCCCAGGCCTTCTCAGGGGTCATTAGCTTCTTTTCATATTAAACTTGGGTTGAACCTAATTTGAACCTGGGCCACTGGGGATATTTTCCTATCGAGTATTCTACAATTGAAAATAAGGAATAATTTCCATAGAAAATCACACCAAGCCTGGCTTGATGAAGCACAGCTGTAACCAGGGCTTTTGACAGCCCCGCAATTTCTGCAAATGGTTCATAATTGATTGCTTTCTCACTC